CCATGTCTTGAGTGCACCATTCTGGAGAATAAATTTCCTTGGCCACAGCTTGGACTTGATGTGCCACCACTTACAGAAATCATAGACCTGACAAACACAGTGGCTCGTTTTCTAGATGCAAAATGAATATCCAAGGAGAGCAAGTTAGTCTGGAGAGAGGAGAGAGCGTGCTGCAGTAACAAACTTCCCGTCTGTGTAGTTCAGCACAACAGAAGTTTCTTTCTTGCTCACTTTGCACATCCATCCTGAGTTGTCACGGGGCTATGCTCCATGTAATCACTCAGGGACCCAGAGTAACGGGGAGTCCCCATCTGGTGACTCCACCGTCTTGTTCTGTGGCTTCCAAAGTCTTGGGAAGAGAGCAAGCATGGAGGATCTACGCTTGCTTTTCACAGCCTCCAGGCGGAAGTAACACACAACTCTTCCACCCCCGATGCATTGGCTGGAACTACCCGTGTGGCCCAGCCTAACTCCAACTACAAGGGAAGCCAGGTCTTCCCATGTGCCCAGGAAGGAAAGGAGAACTGGACTGAGTGACCGCTAGTGACTTCTCCCACAGAGGGAACGTCCAGGATTCCCTAGCACAGTGGGGGCGGGCCAAGGCCCGGAGTCCTCAGCTCCCACCCTCTGGGCCCCCCCCCTTTCAGGCCTCTTGGTCCACCCATCTGAGCCTCTCTCCCTGGAGGTCTCAGGGACAGAAGGGATCGTTCGCTCCATCAGCACGTGTGTATTGAGAACCTCTGGGTCGGGCACTGGGCCGACGTGGTCTTCGTCCTCTCAGAGTTCACAGTCAAGTTAGGGAAACTGACACTAAAAGAAAATTGCAAAAAATAATTACATAAGTTCAGACGTGCAGGTGCTGTGGAAGAAAAGAGCTGAGGGAGAGGAGGGGCTGAGCAGAGGGGAGAGCTCCGAGGGGGAAGGAGAGGGCATAGGAGGAGCCGAGAGGTGAGAGGGGAGAACACCAGGATCAGGCCCCGCAGGGTTTCGAATGTCACGTTCTGGCTTTTGCATTCTGTCCTAAGCGTGTTCAGAAGCTCTAGGGGGGTTTAAGCAAGGGAGTGACATGGTTAGATTTGTAGTTAATGAGGTGATCACTAATACTTACTGAACCGCATGCACTTCCGCATTATTCCACTTAATCCCCAGTCGGCTTGTGTGATAGGGACTATTTCTTACTAACCCATTTTCCAGATGGGAAAAGTGCAGCTAATAAAGATGAAGTAACTTGCCCCAAGGTTGCATTGCTGGAAAGGTCAAGCCGGGATCCAAACCTCGAGCCCACACCCTTTTCCCCTTCGCTGCAGAATGTTCCCTCCGAGTGCCCTGTTGACGCAGGACCAGAGGGAACGAGAGCAGACGGGGAGCTGGTCAGGCCACTTCCCTTGTAGGAAGAGACAGCAGCTTAGGCCGTGGAGCAGCAGGAGAGGCAGGAAGAAGTAGGATTCAAGACAAATAATCTGGAATTCCAGGGCTGCTTGAGTGTGAGGGGTGGGGGGAAGAGAGATGACGGGGACGAGCCCGGATTTCTGGCTCAGGCGTCTGGGTGGCTGGGCACTTTTGCAGGAATGCTGGTGGAGGAGCAGGTCTGGAAGATGCTTTAGATGTCCTGTACCAGCACCATGCCTTGCCTGGAGATAGCGCCTCGCAGCTATCACAACTAGGTTTGTCTCGAGATGCTTGGAGAACCCAAGTTCAGCCAGAAGAGGTCAAGTCCAGAGATCAGCTAAGGAAGGGAAGATGAGATGGGCACAGGTCTGTCAGGCCAGGGAAGGTGAACTCAAATACGCATCGGGAGGCCAGGCCAGCCACCCAGGGAACAGCGAGACATCCCGGGGGCACAGAGTCTTGTCAGCAATTGGGTGGAAGCCTGAAATTCCAGAGGCCACGGGGGCCAGGCAGGAACTGTGATGAGTGAAGCAGGCTGGGTGTGAGACCATGGGCGCTCAGGCAAACGCTGACGCACGACCTGTCCAGAGGCACTGCCCTTCCTGGGCCCCTGCTGACGGTGGCCACTCGGATATGGGGGTGGGGCCAGGTCACAATCACAGCGATAAGGAGGAACTGGGCCTTGTGCCAAGCACTTCACGTGTTAGACTTGTTTAATCCTCACGACCTGTGTGACTAGTCCCACACCTTCTGATGCTTCAGGAGAAGCTAGGGGTCCCAGTTAGGTAAAGCATCGGTCCCCAACCTTTTTGGCACCAGGGACTAGCTTCATGGAAGACAGTTTTTCCACGGACATGGGAACGGGGGTGAGGGTGCGGAGCCCAGGCGGTGATGCACGGCCCATTTCCCAGCAGGCCATGGACTGGTACTGGGCCACAGCCCTGGGATTGGGGACCACAGAGGTAGTTTTCCAAATTTTAAATGCTAGTCATTTGTGTTTTAAAAACATGAGAAGAAACAAATAAGCAAAAAAGTACAGCCAAACAAAGCATCCCTGCCTTGGATGTGGGCAAGGGATCCTGGGAAAGGGGTCGGACCCAGAACTAGGGCACAGAGCACGCAAAGCCAGCCTGGCTTCCTCTGCTATTACAGCGGGGACTTCGTTAGAGGCATTTTCAAAATAAATGGTAGGAGACCAGGCACGGTGGCTCACACCTGTAATCCCAGAATTTTGGGAGGCCGAGGTGGGAGGATCAGTTGAGCCCAGGAGTTCAAGACCAACCTGGGGAACATCTCTACAAAGAGGCCTCATCTCTACAAAAAAAAAAAAATATTTACCCAGTGGCACACACCTGTAGTCCCAGCTACTCGGGAGGCTGAGGCAGGAGGATCGCTTGAGCTCGGGAGTTTCAGACTGCAGTGAGCATTAATGGTGCCACTGCACTCCAGCCTGGGGGACAGAGCAAGACCCTGTCTCCAAAAATAAATGAATGAATGAATGGTAGGGTCAGGAGAAAGAACTCTAAAAACTTTGTTTCTTTTGTGATGACAAATGTAATTGCAGGGGATGTCTTGTCAGCTGACAAAATGGCACTTTTGTGGGTTTTCTTAGGAAGGGAGCTGGGTAGGCAAGAACCCAGCTTTGAAGTTCAGGTACCATCTGAGCCCGGTTTGCTTTGCTGGGTTTTGTGGCTGTTAATTTCTCCCCGCCAATCGCCACCAGACATTTTGCAAAGTTATCATTGCTACTGTTTTTTTTTTTTTTTTAAGGCATTGCTCATTTTAGAAAGCTGTCTGTCAAAAATGCTTAAAATAAAGGCAGACTTGGCACTTGAAGGAATAAGTACCATTTATCTTGAAAGTCGCTTGGGTGAGAATTTCTCTGCAGGGTTGGGTGCATGAACTGTTGATCTATCTGTAAGAAAGCCAGTGCTGGTGTTTATGGTACGTGGCCTTTGGTGGGTGGACATTTTAAAGTCATTTCTTGATTCCACAAATGTGTATGGAGCACCTGCTGTATGCGGGTGATATCCCGGGCCTGGGGATGCAGCAAGAAGCAGATGGACGTGATCCCTAGCCCACAGAGCTGATCATATAGGGAGCTGCGCCAGCCACCAGGCAGGCCTCAGAAATCCACTGGAAGAGAGGGCAAGTCCAGGCACCAGGCAGGGCAGCAGAGGAAAGCAGGTGGCAGGGCTGGTGGCATTGCTGGAGAGTGAGAGCGTCATGTGCCTGGCCTCACTTTGTCCTCTCACTGGCCTTAGGAAGTGTGCATTATTACAACCTCCATTTTACCCAGGGGGAAACCAAGGCTTAGAGACGTTCCACAAGGGGCAGAAGATCACCTCTCTAAGCCAGGGCCCAGCCTGCCTGGCTGCGGAGTCTGTGTCCTCACGCTTTGTGGCACAGCCCCTGTCTGCAGGTGTGGACAGACAGCTGGACTAATTTCCAGATCATTTGCAACTCCCCGTGTGGGACCCAGACCAGCACCTCTGGTCTCCCCCTGACTCGTTTGCTCAACTGCTGCTTAGGTCTGTCAGCACTTCACAGTGTCCTGGTGGGGGGACGGCGCTGACACGTCTACACAGGTTGCACCTGCGTTTATTCTTGTTCTCAAAGTTAATGATTTTATCTGGAGTTTGTTTTTTTTTTTAACCACAACATTTGTAATGTCAAGAATCTCTAATGAGGACAAATAAACCATTAGTTTGCACACAACTATGAAATCAGGCATAACCTATTAATTTGCTGACGGATAGCTGGCGTTAGCAAGCCATACTGTCATCCGATTTCAGAACTGCCAGGGATCTTAGACCAGTCCCTTTGTTTCTGAGAAGGGACATTGAGTGCAGAGAGGATAAGTGGCTGGATCAAGGTCAGGGGATGGTGCCAGGGCTTAAACCCTGTGCTCTGTCCATCTGGTCACCTGAGGCCTCCAGTGGACCTCAGCCTTGCCCTTGGCCTTGCTGATGAACCTGGAGTCAGGAGACCATGGGTGTGGCCCCCTAGGACGCTGAAAACAGACCACCGCCGTTCCAGAGCTAGTAAGGACCACACTTGAGTGGCAGAGCTCCTCAGGTCATATAGCAACCGTAGCCCAAGGGAAAGAGCCTCAGAAATTCCAGCTTCCTGATCATAAAGCCTGTGTGGCTACAGATTATGAGACAGAATGAGAATGAAAGGAAACAGACCAATTTAAAACTGTCAGGAAAATTGTTCCAGTATAAAGACAAAGTGGAACATGGACATTTGGTGATGCTCCTCTGCATCTATGCCATGTTTCACACAGCAGAGAGGCCTGTAAGCCCCTCAGCGATCTGTCCCCACTGGCCGCCGGCCACTTCCTCTCCCAGTGCTCCAGCCTGTCCAGGTTTTCAGTTGCTGGAATGTTCCACACTCCACTTGCCTCCAGGCCTGTGTCCTTTCTGCCCTCTCTGCCCCCAGCTCTGCTACCTAGTTTTCCTACTTGAGATTTTATTTAGATTTCCTTTCCTCTAAGAGATGTTCAAAACAGTTCCGGTTTCTTATAAAAGGAATGCGCTTGTCCTGCGTGTTTTCCCCGTGCCAGTTTGAAGCGGCTGCTGACTCCAGCCATTGTCCTCCATTCTCAGGTGACAGACCATGCCACCACTGCCCTGCTCCACTATCAGCTGCCGCAGATGCCAGATGTCGTGGTCAGATCTTTCATGGTAAGTCAGGTCAAGAGTCAGGTCTCCTGCCTGCACCTTGGCTGCCTCAAGTGTGAACAGGCAGCTCAGAAAGTAGCTGTTGCGTCTTCAGACGTGAGAGCCTCCCAGTGGGAGATGGGGCTGCCAGTTGAAAACTGAGACTTCCTTGAAACTGGGAAGGAGTCTGGGAGGAACCACTTCCAGCATAATTAACTGGTGTTTTCTATCATTGCTGAGCACGTGGTGGTTTCAGAAGTGATCTTCCAAAATAGTTTCCAACACGGATATAGTCAACAGATACTTCACTGAGCCCCGATTCTGTGCCAGGCCCTGTGCTTGGCACTGAGCGTGTAGCAGTGAATAAGACACGTCTTGCAGTTCCCTGAGACATTTAATCCTCACATCTTCAGAGTTGGAGCTCAAGATGGGAGCAACTCCAGAACAGCTGTCCCAGTGGCACGCTGGAGCCAGCTCCTGCCAGTTCTTAATAAATGTTCAGAATTTTGCGAACTGGTTGTTCAACCACTGGTAGTTTGAAATCAAGCCAGGTGGGGGTATTTACACCATGAAAATCAGCAAACGCTACAAGTCAGGACTTCTCCCCACCCCGGAGCCAGTTTGTCGGCCCTAAGTAGGGCTGGCAACATGGACGTGGCCCTGACAGATGCGGCCAGCTGTTTCCACACCGCGCCAGCACGGCCCTGTGCCCTCGCGTCGGCAGTCTCCGTCTTCGCTGCTGTCGAAACTCCCTTTTCTTTTTCATGCTAGAGAGGCTGACAGTCAGAGACCCTCCTTCCTGTTAGCAAGTCCCAGTGGGTGTTGGCGGCTAGATAGGGCTGGTGGGGAGTTGCTCATCCAGTTCATTCTGCCACGTGGGCACCCTCAGTGAAGCTTCTTAGAGAGCCCGTAGTTTGTTTCTCGAAGACACAAACCCAGCTCACTCACTGGCTTCGTGGTGTTGGGAGGTTGACAAAGCAAAAGCAGGTACTCAGCAGAGCTGTCCACAGAGTGGTTCTTCCGTGTGCTGAGAGAACAATTCACTTGACAGTTGTCAACAAGATCTTCAGTTTCGGAAAGATGTAAAGACGCACTTTTTAACCCAACATGTTGTAATGCCCACTTGCCCTCCGGCAACTGCCTTGGGATTTGGGGAGCATTTGAATTTGCTGAGCACCAAAGAATAAACAGTTTAACTGAATGATCCGTTGACCTCCTCGTGTTTATTGCCAAAACCCTAAACACTTAGCCTCTGGAAGGGGGTGGTGTTGATGGGCCGTGCTTGGCCACCACGAAGGCAGCCATGATGAAGATAGAAGGATTTGTGTCAATAAATGCTGCTGATCTCATCAAATAACAATTTTCTCTTATCAACGTGATTCAGAAGGACATTAAATGACTAGATTGATGTACCCCTTTCACAGTGAGAACTTTCTTGTCTATTGTCATGAGATTTGGGGTTTTGTTTTTTTTTTATAGTTTTTAAGTAGTGAATCTCCTTGAGTTTGAGAATTGAGTTATGTGAGTCTCATCCTTATGTATGATGCCTGAGAAAACTGCACTCTGAACTACTCAATGTGTATTTGCCACTTATTATGTTATTCGGTGGCACCAGGGCTGTCCCCACCCGCCCCCCCAGGCGTGTTAGGTCACACTGTGACAGTGAGCGATGACCTCTGAAATCAGATTAGCTAGAAGGCGTGTTGATCTCTGTGGAGAATTCTAAAATCGCCATCTACTCCAAGTCGTCTTAGTCACGTCCACGGCCTGGCTTCCTGGCCGCGAGCAAGGAGAAGAGGGTGGATGATGATACTCGGACGGCGAAATGGGGTCTGCTCAGCCCGCAGGCCTCCAGGCTGCGTGTAGCTCCTGGGGACCCCTCAGGGGGCCCTTCCTGCTTCTGAGAGTAGGAATTTCTATTTTAAAAACCCCCTCGGTTGCGGGGAGTAAGAGGAGCATCAGAACTAAGAACCAGCGGTGAGATGACGTGGATTCCGTGCGCTTCCCTCTGTGAAGTCCCAGGGCATCTTTTGGGGTCCAAGCCAACTTAAGTTTTCTACCCTGGGGAGTCGTTAGGCTTGATGGGAAGGGTGACTTTGGAAGCACCTGGATCCTAGTCTTTCATTTCTCTCCTCACTTCTCTTTTTAGACTTGGTTAAGAAGTTACATAAAGCTGTTCCAGGCCCCATGCCAGCGCTGCGGGAAGTTCCTGCAAGACGGCCTTCCCCCTACATGGAGGGACTTCCGGACCCTCGAAGCCTTCCACGACACCTGCCGGCAGTAGACCCACCTGGCCCCAGCCCCACTTCTAGCCCCAGACTGGCCTACAGACCCCCACCCAGCACCATCCTAGACAAGCACGAAGTATATTGACGGCTCAGACCTTTCCTCACTGCCCAAGCCACTCTCTCCCTTTCATGAAACGATGTCGTGTGTGCTAAGGCTGAGCCTCTTGAAGAGCAGACTCCATCTCTGTGGCTGATGGGACAAATTTAACCCCATAGCCAGTGGATCGAAGGCTAAGACAACCTTTCTAGCACCTACTGTAAGGAAGTTATGCAGCACGCTCTGCGTCCGTGCGTGTTGGCAATACTGGTGAGCTGACCCTCCTGGGTCTCTGTGTGAAAGTCAGTTCCATGAGCCGTTATTGGAATGAGCCCCGTATCCGTATGTATCTTCATGCAGGGTTTTTTTTGTAACTTATTTTTGTAAGCAATAAACCTTTTATACCCAGGACAAGACTCTGTCTCCCATTTCTCACAGCACTTTGTACATTCAGTTCATGGCCATGTGAGTGGATCTGGGCCTTTTGAAGAAAAAAAATTCAGCGATATCTGGGTTTACAGCACGGTTCTTTTTGAGGATGGACTTCCCTGCTTCTTGCTTTCAGGAGAGAGGGCGTGCTGCACGGACTCCATTTCAAAGACGTTTTGATGGCTTGGAAAATGGATTGTTCTTTTTGAGGAAAAGAGTACGCAGAAGTTTCTTTTTACTAAACCAGCAACACCATACGCACACCATAGGGAGAGGCCTCTGCCCAGCTTAACCAGCTAGACACGTGCGAGTGGGACTCACGTGTGTGTCGGCTTGTTTGCCCTGTGTTTTGTCCTAAATATTACTATGAATCAGTTCCAGCCCAATCTGCCAAGTTCATTCAGTGCCTCAACACTGAATTTGAAAGCCGTAACCTGTTTCTTTGAAGATCATTGACCTAGGGAGGGCATAAGAAGGGTGGGGTGTTGCCCAGAGCTTGCCCAGCCCAGCCCATGCTAGAAATAATGTTCTCTTCACAACAAACCGTGTCGGAAGAGATGTCCAAAAGAACTGAGTGGTTCCTACCTGGGTTCTGGTACCACCCAGACCTTCCCCCTGCCCCCTCCCCATGCTAAAGGAGCCAGAGGATGGAGAGGAGTCATCGATAAGGACCACAGGACAGGGCTGTGTCATGTGTGGTCCGCAGACCAGCAGCATTGCCACTGTGGGAGCCTCAGGCCCACCCCAGACCTCCTGGATCAGATACTGCAAAGGTGGGCTCACGTCTGAGGACCTCTCTCCTGGGAGAAAGGGCCCCACTTGCAGTGCCCACCTGGGGCAATGTGTGACGTTTCCCTACAGGGGGTGGCTTTAGATTGGATACCTTGGTTAATCAAATCCAAGATGCCAGTGCTCATAAGATACACCATTATTTTATGAACCACTAAGAAAGAAAAACACACCACCGATTAAGCCCAGGCCTTAATGACGATGCAGTGTGACACGTGACTCAGTCACACCAGCCTTTCATTGCTTTGAAATTTCTTTCATCTGTTCCAAGGGGGGGCAGTTTCTCCTGCCTTAAGTCTTGTTGTTTAGCCTGTGACAGGGATCCCCCAACTCCCAGAAACAGACCACAACACCCCTTCCTTGACTTCCTGGGTACTCCTTCCTTTGTCTTGTAAGACACCTGTTTGTTGCTTTGCAAGAAAATATGGAATGGAGGATATTGGGTACATAATAATGTTTTGTCTCAACGTGGCACGTCTTTTTGAAGACATTTAAATGACAAGTAAACTGACCCCATGCAGTACTAACGGTGCGCACAGCTCATGCGAAGTGACGACAGTATGACCACGCTGGAGCATGTGCAGATAGTGACGTGTCCATGGTGACCGCCAGCTGGCAGGCAGCACGCATCAGGATGTTCAAATGTGGGAAAGTATCCATTCGAGGGCTGATGAAATTACGGTCATGGCAAATCCCATCGTGAGAAAGCTGTTTGTATTTTTAACTGTTTGAGTGCTCCCGGCGCCGCGAGTCTGAGAACGTTCCCACTGGCACGAAAGGTCTCTGATTCCTGCAGTCCCCACTGTCAGAGAGCGGCCTCGACTTCAGCCTCGGGCAGGCAGAGTTTCTTCTTGAAATTTCATGGCGTTTGTCTTCTCCATGTCATCTTTAGAGATACCTTCTATTTCTGGCAAGTGATGCCTGTTTCCCATTTACTGCAGTGATATAAAGTGTCCATTTAAAATTTATTTAGGTGAAAAAGTGTGACTATTACAGAAAACCGTTAAATAAATAATAGCACAGGAAGAGAATGGCTCTAGCAGAAAGCGTGCAGTGGGCAGGTGGCAAGGGGTGGACGCACTGGCCAGGCCTGACCCCAGCCTTCTGCTGCCAGCGGTGGGAGCCCGGGGAAGCGGCTTCCTCTGCAGAGCCCCCATGCCCTCCGCTGTGAAATGCCAGCTGTGGTCGGAGCAGTTGAGCTTCTAGGCCTTTCCATCCCTGACGTTCTCGTTCTTCATCCTGAGAGGGGAAGACTGACGGGGACTGTATTCGCAGTCCAGCGGGGCGAGGGGCTCGTTTGCCAGACCCCGGAATGACTGCTGCTTCAGGGGGCGAACGTGAGAGAGACCGGCTTTGTGTGTCACCCACAGAAGTAGGATGTTGGCACAACAGAGGCCCAAGGTGGATTGGGATCGGTTCCGAGATCGTGGGTTATGAGGGACACTGGGAGACCTGCTGCTGCTGTGAGGACAGTCACCGGGTCCCAGGACCATTCTTTGGCATTTCTAACGGAAAGGAAGGTGGCCATCCACGGGTGCTGCGTCGATGGGTCACGGCGTGATTCAGACTGTCCAGAGGTGATCTCTAGGCCAAACCTGTAGGTGCCCTCTGTGACCTAGCCAGTGCTCCTGCAGCGAAACACCTGTGCTGTCTAATTGACTCCCAGGCGGGCACGTGGTGTTTTCCCTGTTCCAGAGAAGGGGACCAAGTGGATGGTCTCACACAGCAGCCAGCAGAGGGGCTCCGGCAGCAGAGCTTCCTCCCTATCAGAGACTAGCCCTGCCCTGCCCAAGTGTGCCACACGGAGCCGGCCCAAGCCAGAGCTCTCAGCCAGAGCCTGGGCACCTCTGTCTGGGCCACGACTGGCAAGGACGCCTTTGCCCCCTTTGCCCCATGCTTCCTGCTGGCCAGGTTACTGCGAGTCACCCAGTAGGGACTGACAGAGCATAGCGAGGAGGTCTATGAAAGGTGGTCCAGATTTTTTTTTCTGAACTAAATTGGGAATTGGCCTTTTGGTATCGAGTGATGTTTTTACACTTCACACCACCGACTGCATGAAATGGTGATCTTTCCGTGTTAATGCGCAAACTCGCCATTGCATTTAGAGTGTCAGAGTGTGGGCCTGATGCTAAATCGAGAGCCTTTTAAGGTCACCCCAGTTGGGAGGAGAAGGGACGACAGCTTCAGCCACCGGGATTCTCACAAGATCTGAAACCCCTGCAAACCTGACGGGAGGCACCACGCGGCCTCAGGACTACGGGTAGAGGGCAGAAAAGAACAGCTCGCCTTTTTAGTCTGTGCCCCGAGCGCTTGCTTCTCCAGCGGAGCGCTGAGATGGTCAGGGAGCGTCCACCGGGGCCTGGCAGGAAAGGGGGAGCCGGTTCCCTTGCACCCGCCTGGTCAGCTCGCTCAGGGCCACACGATGTGCACATGGGAGAGGAGCCGCGCAGAGTGACTGAAGGAGCCTCGCTGAGCAATTAGGCTTCACTCTCCAGGACAGGCGGGCTCTGTCCCCAGGCTCCGCCATCCCGCCTTCCACTCAGCTCCTTAAATTGGGGGAAAGGAACCTCAGAAACTCACTTTCAGGTTGAATTTTAAATTGCAGGTTGGCGGCTCCCTGTTATTAGTTCTTGAAGAGCCAAACCTTAAAGTTCACGAGCACGTCCCAGGTAAGGCACCGTCTTGGCAGCTCCAAGATGATTAGTTACTCAAGAGCAACTCCAGCCTGTCTCTGTGCTAATTGAGTTTGAAATTTCAGCTGGAGATTGACTGTCCTCGGGGACAGTGTGAGCTGTAGTTTGGCGCTAAGGGAACAGGCAGGTCCTGCTGGCAGCAGGCTTCCTCTGCATCGTGCTCCTCCCAGGCTTGATAGAGACAGTGACCTGTCCCTCCAGGGCAGCAGGGTGCGTCGAGGCAAGGTGGGGGACAGGGAGAGCACAGGAAGAGGCTGCAAGCTCGAGAGGCAGCCCAGACAGCAGCAAGCGTTCGTCAGCGCCCAGCGCGCTCACACCCTGCGCTCTGAGGTGGGATGGACTGTTACTTAATGCATTACTCATCTCAGTCTTGGCTCTCAGCTCAATCATGGGCCTGCTTTCTTAATTGCAGAAGGAATCCATATGTTCCTTTTGTAGAAAATGAGGTAATGTGAATAAGCAAAGCAAAGAAAATGATACCCATAATGCCCACCAGCAAGTGATACTTACTGGCGCTCCTTGGCGTGTACCTTTCCGGACCCTTATATGGACATGCACACTTTCTGCAAAACATGAGATCATCCCGTGTACTGTTTTGAACCCTGTTTTTTTCCATTTAGCAAAGGATAAGCTTCTATCGTACAGAGGCCCAAAACTACAGTGGCTTAAAGACTGTAGATACCTCCCCTTCGCTTAAGAGCTCCAGCGGCAGTGGACAGGTCTGCAGGCAGCCACGTGAGGATCCTGTTCCTCTCATCTCAGTACAGGGTCACAGGCCCCTTCGCAGTGTGTAGAAAGGGGAAAGCACACAGGGAACACGTGCCAGTGTTTAAGACCCAGACCCAGCACGGCCCACGTCAGTTCCTCTTGAATTTCATTAGCAGGAACACCAGCTGCAAGGGCTACTGGGAAATGCAGTCTCTGGGCAGCCATGGTCCCACTGAAACTCTCACTCCGGCCGAGGGGAGAACCTTTCCTGATGGACGACCAGCAGCCCCCACCATTCGACTTGTCCCCATCCTCCAACTGTCCCAGAGTGTGCATCAGTGACACTGTCCTTAGGGGTTTGTTTTGTCCATACTTCAGTTTTATGCTACGATGGCATTCTGCTCTTTGGCAACCATAATGAATCTCCTATTGGATATTTTTAACTTTTTATTTTGAAATAATTATAGCTTCACAGGAAGTTGCACAGAAATGTATAGGGAGTTCTCGTGTATCCCTCGTCCAGCCCCCTCCGGAGTTAACATCTTGCACAACTACAGCACAGTATCAAAGCCAGGAAGTGGACTCTGGCATGGTGCGGAGGTTACTCAGATTTCACCCGCCGTGCGTGCACGCGTTTGTGTCTGCGTGCAGGGCTCTGTGCAGTTTACCGCGTGTGGCTTTATGGAACCACCACCACGATCAAGACCCTTACTGCATCATCACCGCAAAACCCCCCACCCTCACCCCCTCTAGCCAC